ATGTTTTGTGGTTGTTTTAGAGAAGATTATGATGTGATTTTTGGAGATAAAACCTGCTGGTTTGTTGTTTGGAAAAGCTTGCGAGCTTTGTCCAACTTCCCTCTTTCCTTCCCTCTTTGAGAAAGCTTGCGAGCTTGTCTCCACTTCGTCTTGGCTTCTAACCTCCTTCTCGCCGCAAGTGCCACCTCGCCTGTATCCTTCTTCTAATGGAATGAAGCTCATTTAGGTTTGTTTGTGTTCAAGAGTTGTAAGTGTCCTTTTCTAATATTATAAAAGTGTCTTTGTTTCTTATTTTGTATATTTTGAGAATTTGGTGTATTTCTTTAGCAATTTTAGTATTTCTTTTATATAGGAAGTCTTCTAATTTTGTGATCAAAAATTTGGGATGGATATGCTCATTCCTTAAGGTGGTTGTCTCAAAATAAATAATCAACTAGAATATTTTCATTTAAAGAATGGAATGTTTAGATTTAGAGCAGCTCAAGCATGTTACCAACACGCTCACCTGATATATTTGCACATTTATAAAATTAAATTAGAATGCTTATGTTTAAGCTTCCTGCTTGAATATATGTTCATAATATACTTTTCATTTTAATATAGAAAGTTGGTGGACTCAATTTGAAGATGATGTTCATGAATTAAAAGCATTTATAGTTAAAATTCTTAGCCTAACATGTTCGACTTCTGCATGTAAGCACAATTAGAGCATATTCAATCAAATTCTTATAAAGAGAAGACTGCAGGGCAGAAGAACAAGCTTGTTTATAATATGTGTAACAAAAAAACTAAAAAAAATAAGCCTCAAATTACAGAAACAAAGAATATATGATGATAAATTAAATCATTTACTTGTTGATAATTTATAATATGATGATGAATGTGTTACTCCTAAAAGTGTTGATGTTCTTTAAATTGAAGCTGAAGGAGAAACTTATGTTGATGAGGAGAATGAAGCAATCAACATTGATATTGAAATGTCTATTGAATGGGCATCAGCTTCTAATTTACAAGTATATAAAAGAAAGAAACAAAGTGATGATGAAATTTCAAAAAAAAAAAATTAAAGGTAATCTTAATATAATTGATTATTTTTTATGTTATTAATTTATTATTTTATTTTAGATTACACTAATGAAATACAAACTAATATAGAGGATAGGGAAAAAATATTTTTGCTAAAAAAGATTTTGATGATGACTTTCACATAAACTATGAGAATTCTTTTGAAGACTATCAAAGATGATGATGAGACTGCCTTGAGTCTTGATATTAGTGGCATGCTTAAGTTTTAAGTAAGTATTTAATTTGAATCTTGCGTTCCAATAACATTTACTTTTAAACAAGTCATCATACTCATAATTTACTTAGTTTATTGTCATTTTATGAGTTATTTTTTATCTTTTAAATACTTTATTTTATCATTTTGAGACTTATGCCTTGATCTGCCTCAAAGCTTACGCCTTGCCTAGCTAAGACAAGACATCTTGATTCCTGATATCGCCTTTTTAAACCTTGGACATGGAGTCTCCTTATGCAGCCATCCTCAAGTACTCATATGTCATATTACACCTAATGTTCCAACTAATATATAATAAATTAAGATGTTTTCATCTTTTAATATTGATCAAAAGAATATTTGAGAGAAACCATAAAAACTCAATATCAAAATTAGAAAAAATCAAACAATTGTTACAACACAATTTTATTATTAAAATTGGCATGTAATTATTCAAAAAAATAAGGGAATTTGATCAACATATGGCCATGATATGTGTTCATTAATAATTATCATCATCATTATCAAGAGTATACCAGAATGCATAATCATAATGGAATCCTTCAAGCTATGGTTGAGTCCTTCAAGTTCATGCATGATAAAATTCAACCAACATTATCTCTCCTCCATAGAAGATGCCACCTCCTTCAATTTGAAATTCAAAAAGAGACATTTTAATACATGTTAAAATTAATCCAACCCTTTCTCTTTTCGAGTAAAGATTGATTTGTGGAGGTATCCAATGGTATCTTTAATGAAAATAATTTTATTTTTCAAATTAAATGACCACATACAGCCCCACGAAGGTCAAAATTCAGCCAACACTCTTTCTCGGAATAAGAATTAATTTATGGAGTTACACAATGGAAGCTTTAATGAAAATTGGAAGCTTAAATGAAAATAATTTCAATTTTTATATTAAATAAGCATGTAGTCGACTCCAAGAAGATTCAAATTTAGTCACTCCTCTCCCTTAGAACAAGGTTGATTTATGGAAGATTTGGTAAGGGAAGCTTTAATTGAAACAATTTAAATTTCTCAATCAAATGAGCACATTCCGGCCATGAAGATTTAAATTTGGTCATCCTTCTCTCACTTGGAGCAAGGTTTAAATAAGAGGAATTACATTAATGAAGTTTTAATAGAAGCGTTTTCAAATTGAATTGACACATGGCTCGCGCTATAGAATTTATTTTATTTAATTAATTCATGTAATCACAAATATATGGCTATAAATATATGATAGCCTTATATTAGAATGCTTGGGTTGTATGATGTAGAATGCTTTGGGCTTTTTCTTAGGTAAGAATGGATGACTCTCTCATATGGGAACCTTGGTGAGTTGCCCATGAAATTCTAATTTATATTTTTCTTTAAATCGTGAATAAAGCACACAATTTCTTTCCATAGTTGTATTTTTTCCCATAGTTCATTATGTTGTTATCATCCCTCTCCACCAATCCATTTCCAAAATGTCTAGCTTTGGCCTCCATTCTTTATTCCAACATGGCCAAGATTTGCTCTTAGAATGTATTCATTCAACCACATGGTTGGTTGATATTGTCTTCATCCACACATTGGATAAAAGACTCTTCAGACTATATTAGGCATTCCATGGGCAAGATTAGAAAATTAGCCATGGCTTCACTTCATAAATCCACATTCCATATGTAAATGTGTTGAGGCATTTCCTCCTTATCGTCTCATCACAACACCACACCTTCCATCCCTTATCACCTACTCTCCATGACTCGAACACCCATGCACATCTACACAAGTGTCTACATTGATGCAATACTCTGCCCTAACGTGCACAACACAAACAATTGAACACCTAATGATGGCATTCACTCATGTCATTTACAACTTGAACTGGTTACTTAAGCATGCATTACTCTGATTAAGATGACAACTCGTTTGACTTTCATGGCTCCTTATATTATGTTTAATCTTGTCCACACCCTCATAACTTGATCTGTATAAGTTTAATCTTGTCCACACCCTCATAACTTGATTTATATAAATCTATACGGTAACACCGCATATAGATCATCTTATGGGGAAAACACAAACCGAAAATATATGGTACAATAGTTTGATGAAACTAATTACCATATAAAGATTTGAACATGTCATTAATACACCCATTGTCATTATTATTATCCTATAGACAACATGTTTCCACATGTCCTATCATCAACACAAAAATAATGTACTAACAACACTTATACAAATCATGATTTAGCAATAACGTGTTGTCAAGCTAATAACAAGGTAGATCAAAATGGTCAACAAACAAAAAGCCCATGTAACTATGTAATATCCTAATTCTCTTCAGGTCTTCAAGCAAACAGTAAGTCTACTACATCAATCCATTTTTCTAATGCCCATGCCCAATGGAAAAGGAGGAAGAATAAAAAAAGAGAAGCTATTTCGACAACTCTTCAAGATGATAAAAGAAAACCTATTAAGAGTTTTAGACTTTTAGACAACTGTTCAACTGCAATAAGAAAAAACCTCTCTATAAAACGCACAGCCTGCAGTCCTCAACTGTTTTCATCAAGTGCAGCATTGTCAGATAATTAAAAAAACAGCTGCTGCGACTAGAAAAGGGGAAGCCAAGCTTCAATTAATAAATGACACCATTATAAGAATGCCTTGAAACTTCAGCTTACTGTTTTATCCACCGACTTTTTAACAAACAGAAAAGAAAGAATAAAGAAACTAAGATCAACAAGGGAAAAACCCTCTATAAGATCATGGCAGATTGTCCCCTCCATGGGTTTACACTTGTGAGATTTTTTTTTTTTTTCAAGACAATTTCCACAATGACCAATTAAAAGATTCTCCCTAAGTTACTCACCAGTAAGATGTTTATATCACAAGTCAGTTTTCTAAAATAACAAATGGATAAAACCACCACTATGATGGACAAAAAGAGATTATCTAGTTAAAAAACCAATATAAGATCATGGCACATTGATCCCTGGGTTTAAACTTCCTTTTTTTTTCCAAAGATTATTTCCTCCATGGACAATTAAAAGGTTCCTCCCTCAGTTACTCACAAGTAAGTTGAGTATATTCCAATTTAATATTCTAGAACAGTAAATGGTAAAACCAATGCCTTCCTATAACATTTTCATTAAACACCAAGAGCTACTGTCCACTGAGCTCCCAGATGCACATGCATCAAGGTTTATCTACTTTCAGAGAATGATGAAAATCAACTGCAGCATAAACATTCAGTTTAACAAAATGCAGATATAAACGGAAAAAAAAAAGGAACTCTGCCTATCAATCATCAATTACTACATGATGTACAAAAAAACTTGGCACTGCACCTCACAGTTTTATCCACAAACATTTCAACTAGAAGAAAAGAAAACAATAAGATCACTACGATATTCCAGGGAAATATCCTTTATAAGATCCTGGCTCATTGGTCCCTGGGTTTACAATTCTGAAGTCATGATAAAGCATTCCCCAATTATTTGTTTGCTGTGGTCAACTAAAAGGTTCCCCCTTATTAATTACCGGGTAAAATATGAATATGACAATTCAAGTTTCTAGAATAGCAAATGGATAAACTAAAGCATTTCTTTGATATAGCAGATATTGGATTGTGCATGCATCAGCGTCCATTTACTTTCTAACAATGATGCAAAATAAAAAGTATAACAATCCCGCAAAGAAAAAGCAGACTCTAAGGAGAGTAAAATACATGTAATAGTCTTTAACGTTCCTCCTGCCAAGCTGCTCCTCGCCATCGCCCTCAGCCTCACTCGGAGGCGACGCATTCATGTCAAGCAACTTGACCGCCCCAAGCGTCCACCGCTTCTTCGGCACCTCATTCATGCTGCACTCGTCACAAAGCCAATCCTCAACCTCCATCCGTTGCTGCCGAGGCCAGTACCTCGCGCAGCTAACATGGAACCCCCGCTCACACCCGTCGCAGACCATCGTCTCTCCTCGCTTCTCCGGCAGGCCGCAGAGGCCACAAGAGAGTTGCCGCCCGACGCCAGCCTCTCCGGGGAACTCCGCTGCAGGCCTGTCCATCGCTGGGAGACGCCCGTGAATCCTGCAGACCAGGGCATAGGCGTCCTCGACCGGGAACTCCATAGACGCCGGTTCCACCGGCTCTGGCGGCGCGGTGGCCGGGGAAGGAGTGTCGCATGGCGTGGAGGGGATCTCGTTGAGATCGATGAACAGCGGAGTGGAGCGCTTCGGCGCCGGAAATGAGTAGGCGGCGGGATCCATCATGAGGAAGAAAGTTTGGGCGGCATGTTGAGATACTGAAGCGTGAGATTTCTAGGGTTTTGTTTTGTTCTCCAACGCGGTTCGAAGTGGGGGAAGGATTAAATCCAGGAGGGTTAGTGCAGTGGATTTGAGGAGAAACACGGGAGAGCGGAAATGCGTAGACGAAGACAGAAGAGAGAGAGAGAGAAGGGCCGAGACGAACGCTCGCTTGCTTGCGGGTAGAGAGAGAAACAGCGGCGAGTCGCGAGATCGGGACCATAGGGTAGATAAGTTATCCGAGCGCTGTAGTACATGACCTGGACACGTGGTAAAAATTGGACGATTGTGATTCTGTTTCCTGTTTAGGGTTGTCACCGGATCGAGAAAAGTGCAGAAATGACGAACTGCGACGACGGTAATGAAAGGTTCCACCACAAGGGTAGCAAAATTTGCAGTTGTTATTGGTTTTAATTAAAAAATTATAGGGAGAGGCGTGACAGTATTTTTTTATAAGTAATTAAAAAAATATTCTTATTATTTTTTTATAAATTGTTGAATATTGCTTTAGAATCAGATAATCCTCTCTTTTATTTATTAACTATTACGCAGCTTATCTTGATCTATTGGTTGGGAGTTTTGGCTATCAATAAAAATGTCTTGGGTTCGAGGTTTTACGTATGTAGCGTGTGTGAGTTGAGAAATTATTTTGTGCGATGACAAGACATAGAACGTCATTCGAAGACCAATCAGAATGCGCCACGGTATCAAGCGAAGGGGTGATGTGGCGCATTCTGGTTGGTCTCTAGATGGCATTTGGTATCTGCATAGAATAATTAATCGTATGAGTTTATCCTAATTGACATAAATGTCCCAAAAAACTATTAATTTGAAGTCCATCACCAGTAAAATTGATGTGAACTATCTTAATTTAAAAATTACTTGAACACGATTTTATATCATTCCATCATGATTCGAATAAAATTCAAATTAAGTTTATCTTGTGTTGGCCTTTACTTTTTTGGTTTTTTAAATTTATCATTTGTGTTATTCATGTTAAAAAAATAAAAATAAAATAAAATTTGTGTTATTCATGTTATTAGAAATTTAGAGATAATATATTATTAATACAAGATAAAGAAAAGGTCAACAATGTGACAACTTACAACGTAGCAAACGAGAAACTATCAGCCTTAAATTCTAAAACTAAAGTGAGAACTATTAATTAAGTAGTAATTCGAATATAAGTCTAAAGAAATATAAAAGACTTCCAGCTTTCAACTCTACCGGGTTAACTACTTACACAAGTTTGACTAATAACTTCTAATAGCATTAAACATCATAATGTAAAATGAATGTTAAGCTAATATAAAATTTAATTTAAGGTCCTTAAAAGTCTTTTTTTTTTTTTTTTTTTTTTGAATTCCTAAATTTTCTTTTGTTTATTATTATGGGTCATAATATATGCGGCGATAGAGTTATAGTTCTACATCTTAGTGTTGCACGGATATTCAGCTCACACACAGAGAAAACTCGGGAAATAGAAAAAATCATGGGGCCTAATCCAATTGAAAATAATTTCACTAGAATTTGAGCAAAGAACAATAGTTTGACTCATCCTTGAAGACAACCAGATTACAAATGTCAACTAAAAGTTTCGCAAAAGTCCAATGTCACTCCAACGTCAGGTGATGGTTCGACACCACTATGGTGTCAGGAGATGGTCTGGCAGTGAAACTTCAACGTCAGGTGGAAGTTCGGCAGCACTCTGGTGTCAGGCGATGGTTTGGTAGTAGCACTTTAGCATCAAGGGGCACTCTGACTTCGGGTGGCACTTCGATGTCCTTTGATGGTCTGGTGGTGATTCGATAGAACTCTAACACCCCTTGGTGTTCCGGCGGTGATGCGGCAGAACTCCGAAGTCCCTTGGTGGTCTGACTATGGTGTGCCAAAACTCGGTGGTGGTGTGGCTAAACTCCAGCGGTGGTGAAAGAAGAGCTAGGCGATTGGAGCTTCCTTTCTTCTCTTCCTTCTTCTCTCTTGTAAATAAGTGAAAGATCAAAGGTAAATTGGGGGTGGTTTAGATGGATGACTAATTTTGATTCCTATGATCATCCACTGTTGAATGGACCTATGACTGTCTTTATAATATTATAATTTAATGATCTTGGGCTTATTCGATTTGCCTCGTTGAGCCGCTTGATTCGACTATAAGCATATCATGGTTGGAGACCATTTGGTAATCCAAATTATGGTTTGATCCTTTCAAAAGTGGTTCGAGTCCTTGATTTGGACTCATTTGGGCTCATATTGGGCGATTTTGGTGTCGTTGAGTTCGTGTTTCCAAGACGCTCAGTTCGACTGTAAGTTTGCATATATCAAAGTTTGGATGGTCTCAATTTTAATTTTTGAAGCTTCCAATTTGATTTAGCCTCATGAATCGTATTATTTATTATTAAGATTTATTATTATTATTATTATTATTATTATTTATTAAAAATATTTAGAATTCTCTCATTTTTATTCCAGTTAATGATGCCCTTTTAAATTCTAAGAATTAAATAATTTTTATTTATTTAAAGTGGGTCTTCATCTCTCTCATCATTATGCCACTTAATGATGCCCTTTTGAATTATAAAAATTAATGAATTTTTATTAATTTTAAGTGGCTCATCATCTCTCTCATCATTATTCCACTTAATTACGCCCTTTTAAATTCTAAAAGTTAATTAATTTTTATTAATTTGAAGTTGCTCTTTATCTTTCCCTCACATAACTATAAATACCCCTCTTTGGGGTATGAAAATTTGCATCTCCCCCTCTCTCATCTTCTTTCTCAAGTTAAGGCTTTCCCCTAGCTCTATTTAGATGTGTATTCCCTATTCAGCCCTAGGGTCCCTAACTAAGCAGGAATTTTCTCCTCTTTCTTCATCTCTTCCTATATAGACGTTATGACGGGCAATCGCCATCCTTCGAGAGATCCGATGACTAAAAAAAATTCACGTCATGTTGCCTAGAATGACGATGAGAGGGGGTCAAGTAAGGGAGCTAAATTGAATAATGTTGCATCCACCATTACCAGCAATTCCTTGATCGTCTTTTACAAAAAAAATTCATTTTCCTAGTGACCTTGTGGCGAAGGTTCCTAAAAAGTCGGATCGGGTATGTCTTCCTTCACCAGGATATCTGACCATTTTTTAGTCTAATATGTGAGCTAGGATGCGGTTTCCCCCTCCTCTTGAGCTAATCGATATCTCTACAAGTGGAATAAGTTTAGGCCAAATTTTGCACAAAGCTATGTCAGTGACTATGGGGTTGATTGCATTCTTCAAAGATTGACGTGTCATTCTAACATCCGAGTATCTTTCGCGGATGTGTTGATTCATTATTTATATATAGAGGTGCATAACATTTAGATTCAAATGGTTAGACATGCATACCCATAACCTATTGAATAGCTGGGCCCATGTATTTTTCTATGTGAAAAATGATTAGAGTCTCATAGAGAAATGGGGGAGGCTAAAGGACCTACCCGTTTTAACATCCTGAGGATTTTTAACATCCCTGACATACCAAAGAAGAAGACATCCTGAGGATTTTTAACATCCCTGACATCAAACATCTTTTATTCGAGGTTCGTTACTTGACCAAATATATTGAAGAAGAGTTTCTATTCAAATTAGGGCTATCAATTCAAGCTAGGAGGTCAGAGGCAAAGATGTTGAAAAAGTCTTCTAAAGTTTACGAGCCACCTGTCCCATCTCTAAAACTTCCTTCTATGCAAAAAAGTGATGATCCTCAAGCTCTACTGAAGAAGAAGAAATTGGAGGGAATTTCAACGAGCACTAGCCAGGTTACTCCTGACTCTTCCCCTGCCAACTTACATGTTCTTAGGGATGTGTTGAAACATCAGTGTCTTGGATGTTGCAAAGCTGATAACTTGTTGAGTAGCGTCTTCTCCTTTAATTTTCACACTTCTTTTTTATGCATCAATTGGAATGTTCTCTCATGCACCCTCCTGTCTTGTTTCAACTGTCACGTCGCATTGAGCTCACCCATACCTTAAATGAATGGAACTATGAATTTGTGAAGGTGAAATATCTTCAATGAGAGTACAAGTGGAATTACAACCATAAGGCTGAAGAGGTGAAGATACTATATGTGAAATTGATCGACTGTAGAACTGAATTGCCCAACATTATGACTATTACTTCTCTTAAGAACCAGCAGATAGATCGACTCCAGATTAAACTTATGGAAGCACAAGCAACAATCACACAGCTTCTAAAGGATCAAAAGATCTCTAGAGAGAAGGTAGTGGTACTTGAAGCTATAAAAAAATGTTGGACTCTTATAGGTGAAAAGGATGCCACTTTCTTTGGCTTAGAATCTTCAAGAGTTAACAAATATTTTATGAAGTATATAACCTTCAAGACTATCGTCTAGGATCACCTTTAGGAGGCTCATAAGCATATATATGATGTAGAGGTAAAGGATCTAGAGAATCAGTGCATGCATGAAGGCTTCACCCGGGGTTTCCTGAAGAGAGTTCGATTGGTACAACACAAGGCCGGAGTTAAGATTGATGGGCTAACTACTAGACAGCTTCTAAGGATCCTTCTTCATATTTGGATGGAGGTGATATTGAAAGCAAGTTGAGGAAGGCCTTCTCTAGTGATGATGAGTCTTTAGCTAGAGATTAGAGAGAGCTCTTAAGCTTGAAGTGCTCTAACACCACTGCCCGGTCGTAAACCATCGACAAATATCAGATGAAGGGCCGATGATGTCGGGTGTCCAGTGGCATTTTGCTAAGATAATATGTATGCATATTGAAGTGTACCAACATCAAATATCCCTAAGTTAAGGGGCAAGATTAATATGATATGTCAGTATTCTAGAAACACATTAACACTATTAAATGAGTGGAGGCCTAATAATGATAAGGTTATATCCTTTCTTTGAAAACAAAGTTGCAGGAGATGCTTGTGTGTAGTAGAGAAGAAGTCACTTAAATCCACCAAGGATATTTGACTATTTTGAAGTTGCTTGTTGATTGATGATAGTAGTTTGTATGGATGATGTCAATGTACTTTTTTATTTCATATTATATGAGAATAAATATTCACATGAAATTAAATTTATATAACTCCATTGATTGTTTATATGAAGTTAAGAACTTATCCCTTAAAAAAAGCTAAATTATTATTACATCTTTGAGACATGCTTTGATATATTGCATAACGTGCTTTTTTTAGGCTTTT